AAATAGAAACAATGTCCTCGGCTGTCCAAGCCAAAGACTGCTGCTGCTGATGATGATGATGATGCTTCGGAAGTGATGCCATCATCGGCTTGCTGCTCCTGTCGAGTCCATCCTCGGTGCCGTCCATCCATCCATCCATCCTCGAAGTCTTCAGCGGGTTGTTGTTGCTGCCGGCCACCACCACCACCAGACCATCTTCTTCAGTCGTCTTCGAGTAAAGTTGCCTGCAGATGATGATGGTGAGGAGAGTGATGATGACGATGATGATCTGCACGGCCATCCGCCTGGCTGGTGCGGCAAGAGGAGAGAGAGAGAGAGAGCGCGAGAAAATGATGAAGACCAGACCAAACTGAGAGTTGATGCACCTGCAAAGAGAGAAAGCAAACGGTTACACAAAGTATCGAGATCTCANAGGGAAAGTCCTGGCTGATGAGGAGCCGGTGGAAGAGAGAGAGAGAAGAGGACGAGGATGATGGTGATGAGGATGATGAGGGTGAGGGTGATCCAAGAGAAGAATGTGGCTGGCTGGTCCTGGTAGCTGGGCCAGTCGATGTCTTTGGCGGCGGGCGCAGGCCATGCCGGTGGCAAAAGCAGCAGCGGGCAGAGAGCCCGACACGTCTGCTCTCCTCTGCGTCCACCAGGCAAGTGAGGAGCCGCCACAGCATGAGCAAGTCAGAGCAGCACTGTACATCACCACCGTGACACACAGTCTGCTGACAGCTGTCAGGGGTGCCCGTCGTAGATGCAATGCAAGATACCGAAACGGGAACTTCAATTCCGAATATCTCGGGAAGTACTCGAGCTGTCAAAGTTTCGCTTGCGCAGGGACACTCCACTAAGCGTTCTGCGTTGAATGAGACCATAAAACGGGGAGGTCAGATTTTTGGTCAAATCGGCCAAATCTGTAAGGCTATAGCCTTGCAGATTTTGAAAATCTGGCCAAAAAATTTTTATTGCAGATTCTGACAGTACTCGACGAGAGGACTCCAAATCTGAAAGAATTTTTGCTCCAGGACCACGGGAACATGATCAATTTTAATTTTAAAGTTAATTAAAAATTTAATGTCAGTTTCCGATGTTGTCCGCTAGGAACGCCACCGTCGTCGCCATCTTGAAAGTGGCGTCAAAAAATCGTCCATGAATTTTATTTTTCTCGTGTTCAGAAAACCAGGAAAATAAACTTTGTGGAACCCCTGCTGCCATCTAGTGTCTGTCGGGTGAACATGGCAAATTTGGTTCATTGAAGCTCTCTATCCATGGTCTGATGTTCAGTAAGTCGTCTAACATAAACAAAGCCTAAAAGAAGTACATCAAAAATAATGAAAAGCATACTTTATTTCCAAGATTTGCAAACATGATGAATAAAAACAAAAAAGAACGATTGGTCTCTGAGATTGGGATGATGATGACTGCGGCAGCTGTGTTGAAGACATTAGTTGGTGGTGGAGGTGATGATGATAATGATGTGGATGATGATAATCAGTGTTAGAACAAAATCAGATCAATAGGTCCAGCTCAAAGCACAATAAGCGGAATGGCGCCACCGGGCACCGGTTGACAGCCTAGACGGCAGACACTGCTGACCTTGCCATCTTTTCTTGAGGTGCCGCTAAAGAAGAGCCCTTCGCTTTCATTGATCAGCGTCGTGTCCAGTCCGCAGAAGCCTTCCACCTTTTTACCATCCTGAAACAAACAAAAAAAAGTTGAGCCCGTGTAAACAAACAGTCCAAAAGTACTACTCGCCACCAGCAGGAGCAACACTCACCTTGCTTCTGCGAACGCTTCGCTGTACGTAGGCTTCCGGTCCAAGGCGGTGCCAGTGGGCTTCAGGTGCCACCGCTAGGCCCGTCTTCTGCAGGTTAATACTGAACTTGGCAAACAGCTGTTGTTCTGGGCTTCCAAAGTGACACCTAACCGCTCCTTGGCCGCGGTACTCAAGACAACCCTGCACCACTGCCTCCCCAAAGCCGAGCGATCGCTCATTGATGAGGACACTTCTTCTCTTGAAGAGGCTCGGAGTTGCAGCATCGGCAGCAGCAGCTGTGGTCGTCTCCTTGGTGCTGGCAAACATGGTGTCGCCGACTAAAAAAGACCAATGTTAGTAAAACAGAAGAAAAGTGATCAAAAGCCTTAATGTCTTACCAATCAACTCCAGCGTGGTGACGTTCAGGCGGACGTACTTGAAGTACAGCGTCGAGGTCCGTTGATGATGAGAAGGCTCAGCTTCGTACGACGGCGACCGTTCAGCGTTGGTCCCTGCAGAGCACTCACTGGAGGAAGAAAAGCACAAGTCAGTCACTGAAAGCAAATGTCAACAAATGATCTCTCTTACCTCGGTCGATGAATCAGCTGTGAGTAGTTCTCCTCCTCCTCTTCTCCTCCATCATCAGAGGCACTTCCATTCAGCTGCAGGTACTCCAGCGGCTGCACCAGACTGCCCATTCCGTAGCAGTAGACGCGAATGGAGGCGCCTTGCACCGTCAGATCGTATTCGCCATCGATCCGAGTACGGCTTCGCTCCCTCATGTCCAGACACGAGGTGACGCCGCCTAATGAAAACATTGGACACTTTAAATTAGTTTTTTGTTTCAGCACAAGTCTACTTACAATCCCGCCGGTTGCACGGTCTGGTCTTCTTCGGTCTCTTGGCCTTGCACAGTTTGCTGTCCACCTTGGCGCCGGTGCGCACCGACTGGCAGATGACCTTGCGGTGTTGCCGCCCGCTTCCACAGGGGCGATCGCACTGAAATGGAAGATAAAAAATGATTATAAGCAAAATCTTCAAATAGAATCATTTCCTCACCTGTGACCAGGCCAGCGGTCGCCAGACGAAGCTGTCGGCCATTCCAGCGCGAACGCACGGTCCGAGGAAGCATGACTGTATGGAGGCGGGCTTCGTCTTCAGGCTGCAAAAGTGGTTGCCTGCTCTAAAGCCTGAGGAATCCTTATCCTCCTTCTCCTCCTTCTCCCCATTCTCCTCATCGTCCACGTCGTCGAGGTAGTTGTAGTTGATCTCATTGTTGTGTCGCTTCCGATGCTGATGCTGCTGGCGGCGACGATCCCTACCGCTGCTTCCTAGCGACGATATCCTCAGCAAGCTATGCTGTTGCTGTTTCTGCTGTTGCTGATGTCCTCTTCCTCGTCCACTTTTGCCTCGCTTTCGTCTGACAACCCGGTTCATCCGAATCTGCACAGCCGGATCGAGCAGAGGCCGAGGGTCGATAGCACGGTAGCGATTGAGACGATGACAGCCGACGGTGCGCACCTCGTAGCCGGTGTCGCACGACTGTGAGCACTGTATTTAGAGGAAGAAAAAGAAGAAAAAAGGGTTCGGGGAAAAAAGAAGCAAACGAGAGCAGTTGAAGAAGACCAGGGAGAAGCAGCGGCAGCATCAGAGAGGAGGAGGAAGAAGAAGCCAAAACAGAGGGAGGAAAAGAAAGAAGCCAAAACGAAAAATAAATAAAAACGAAAAAAGAAAAAACGAAAAGAGAGGGTGAAAACGTGGTAGTGGCAAAGAAAGGAAAGAGGAAGGAAGGGAAGGACGGGAAATGAGAGAGAGGAACGGTTTAGTAAAAAAGAGTGTTCAAGAAAGCAGTGGCTCAACCTTAAGTGAATCATCATCGCCGGTGAACCAGCGTTGCGATTCAACGACGGTGCTGTTGCTTGTACCTCAGACCAGTGTCCGGTCTGCCAGACCAGGCGGGGACCGCCGCCGTCCTGACGAGATGTTGTCGATGGAGTTCCAAGAGTAGAGGAAGAAGTTTCAGGAACCGGCGTTGTGGTGGTGGAGGTGCTGCACTTGACATCGAGCGCAGTGATGGCCACCGTACACGGTTGGCTCTTCACCGGCAGCGTACTGTTCTCCTCGCAGAAGTGGTCGCTGACGACGGTGCCCGTCCACTCGCGACACTCGGCGGTGAGAGTGCGGACGCCCGCCGGGTCACAGGCGCCACGGTCAGGTGTGGTGCTGGTGGGCGTGCAGGGCGACCACTCGGTGCGGTAGTGCCACTCAAAGATGGGACACAGCCACTCGCAGTCGGCCGTCTGGTTGGCCGGCTTCGGCTGGCCGGTGCAGCTCTTCCCGGGGGCGCACTTTGCCTCTCGACTTTTGGTGCCCTTGCCGCAGGCGGCGGTGGCGTTGCGGAAGACACAGCTGCTCCAGTCGCTCCACTCGGTCCAGTTGTTTACTGGTGCTGGTGCTGGTGCTGGTGCTGGCTTTGAGAAGAGACGATTGCTCTTTTTGCTCTTCAATCGAGAAGAGGTGGTTCGACGAGGTGCTGTTGATGAAGTGGAAGAGGTCGTCGTCGTAGGCCTCAGAGTGGTTGTCTGCGCTTGGACAGCTGGTGCTGCTGTTGAAGTGCTAGTGACGCCCATCGGTGTTTGTTGTGGCAGTGGCAAGCTGGTCGTCGGTGATGATGACAGTCTTGTCGAGGCCAGTTTTTTCGTTGGAGCCATTGTGGTAGTGGTGGTCGTGGTCGTCGTCGTTGTTGTTGTCGTCGAAGCCTCAGTTGTCGTTGTTGTGGTGCTTGTAGTTGAGGTACTTGAAACCGCTGAAGCACAGGCTGAATCATCGGTTATCAAAGACGATGACTTGCACTGCTCCAGCTCAGTGGGCTTCGGCGCCGGCGGACGTATCAACCTTAGGCAGTACACATCAGGTATCTCCTGATTGTCGGCGTGATCCAGCAGACGGCGAATGCAGCGGACGAGTCGCTTTCGAAGGAACCGCTTCTGTGTTGGCTCGCACCGACACTCGGTCCAGTTGCCCACGCCCCAGACGATGGTCTCGTTGTAGAGGAGGCCGGTGCCAGCAACGGCAGCAGCAGCAGCACCACTATCAGTCGGCTGCGGCTCAATGGCCGGCGGTGATCCACCTTGGTCCACCAGATGCAAGTGGTCACTTTCAATCGGTTTGGGTGTGTGCTGTTCAGAAGCTACTACTAAAACCTGGTGAGACTCGTGGTGGCCACTGCTGCTGATCAGATTCAGCGAAGAAGGCGACCGACTTGAGAGTGTAATCGAAGAAGAGCCCTGCTCCGAAGTTTCCGACCGCTGCGGTGGTGGATCGATAATGTAGTTCGAGTGGACGACTTCTTCAGGTGGTGGTGGTGGTGGTGATGGCGGACAGTCGGCGAGATAGCACTGAGCCGTCTCGTCGGGCTTCTGCTTCGAGGTTTCAGTAGACAGGCAGTGCACCTCATCGACGGGATGGTCGCCGTGCAAGCAGGCCACCGCTCGACGCTTCTCACCGTGGCCACAGGAGGTGGAGCACTGGAATACAAAGAAAAAAAAGTTAAAAAATGACAAGTAAAAAACTACACAAACCGCAACTCACT